TTAATTTACCATCAACAACTTCGTAAGGAATACCACTAGAAAAAGTTGAAAGGATCACGTACCTTGGTTCTAATTTACATGAAAGCTAGAACATGACCACTGAAATAAAAATGAGGATAGAGAAAGCTTGAACAGCATTCTTCAAGATAAAAAAGGTCTTCTGCAATCACGACATAAACCTAAGATTGAAAATTAGCCTTGTCAGATGTTACAACTTTCTATCCTGTTCTACGGTGTGGAGAGTTGGTCTCTGACAGAAAGTCACTTAAAGAGATTAGAAGCATTTGAAATGTGAATTTACAGGAGGCTGTTACATATAAGTTGGGTTGACAAAATCAGAAATGAGGAGGTGATAAGCTGCCTGGGAAAGCCAAGGGAAATCATCAAAATCATTAAAAAGTGAGTTAGAATATTTTGGACATGCGCTGTGACATCTGGAAAAATACGGTATACTTCACTTAATCCTCCAAGGAAAGACTGAATGCAAACAAGGTCCAGGCAGAAGAACAGCATCATGGCTTCAAAATCTAAGGGACTGGTTTGACAAAACTCAACAGCACTTTTTTTGCGGATTTTGATAAAAATAGGATTGCCAACATGATCGCCAATGTCCAATGATGGATATGACTCAAGAAGAAGAAGAAAGAGAATGCCAAGATGCTATTCTGCTAACTGGAAAAAGACACAGTTTTAACAGGATAAACAGTACCTAACTGCTGCTCCCACATCTTAATAAATGCATTTATTTTTTCAAATGATTCTCTCAGTCTTCATAACATTAATGCTTAGCTAAAAGTGGCAAAGCTAGGCTATGTACTTCTGCCAAAGATGACACCCAGCTGATAATGGCACAACTCTCATAGCTGACCATCACTGTTTTACAATAATTGTCAGGTGCTTTTGGGCTAAACCATTCAGTTCCATTCTTTCTTACATTTAATTTATGCTATTTTATATACTGTCTTTTCTCCTGCTCAGAATGACTGGGGCATAATGAGCCTCATGAAATTTCCTGGAAGCCACACACACTGCTTCCTAATGATGCATGTTCAAAAAGACTGAAATAAGTACGATGTGGTAAAAACAAAGAGCAGTCACGGACTCATGAGTTAGCCAATGAATATAAAGATTCTACCAGTTCCAGAAGAAGGATTTGGTGAAAGTGTCACCACTGCAAGGCAGGTATTACTTCCTGATCAAGGATTAAAAATCAGCAAGCAAAGAAACTTAAACTAAATTCTAATTACAAGATGATAAGATAGTACGGTGATCTTTTCTGAGGCATATACAAAGAAAAGAGTTAAATATTTGCTTTTTATTAAGGTCCTACAACATCCCATTGTCTAATTTACATACAGCTTGCTAACTATATGTTTTTTGTGGAGTTAAATAAAACACAGTAATCCAACATTGAAAGAAAAGAAATAATATTTGATACATTCAAAAAGAATCCTATGATTTGACTCACTGGTGAATCCAAAACTTTATTGCTAATTCTACAATTACTGAATGCAATCAGGTTGAAAATGCATAGTAAAACTGGTTTAGCAATAGTTGAAATAAATAACTGCATAAATAAACAAATAACCAAGCTCCTGTCAAATAAAATGTGAGGATATGAATCCTCTAGTGATAGCTAAGACTGAGAAGACAAGAATTCAAATTAACATTTTAGAAGGAGTCAATCCTACTCTCTAGGCCAGGGCTGTCCAACTTGCAGCCCATGGGCCAGATGCATCATGTCCTAGCACGTCCACGCCCAGTTTAGCAAATGAGAAAAAAGTCGAGATATGTCATATGATGCCGCCATGACAACGTGAGTTTGACACCCTGCTCTAGCCTAATACAGTTTACAGGGGTATATCAATAGCAACTAAAGAAAACCACATACATTGGCTTGAACACTGTGGGAAATATATGAATATAAGTGAATAGTAAATATGATTTATGTCTTTTCAGGATCCAATTCCCAATATGACTTTGAGGTCAAATCTTAATTATGACTGTAAATTTTAAAAAGTTTTTAAAATTCTTATAAAGAATGTCACATGACAGTAGCTTTGACATTTTTCTTAAAATTTTTACCATTGTTTCTATAGTTTTTCACTTTAATCTCCCAATTAAAGTATTATGCAATTACTGATTAAATACATTTTTTTAAAAAAAATAGCACTTCAATCATTTAACTGCTTTTAAACATATTAAAATATCTTTTTAAAAGCTCCAAAGGAAGTATCAGAATTTTTTTTTTGAACACAAGTGTTTCAGTGTTCTGCAGCTCTCTGAATTTCTTGGAGATAGTATTCTAAGAAAAAGGAGGAGGGAACGAAGGTATTTTTTTTACAACAGAAATTAACATAGGGATTTTGTAAACTAAAACAGGGGAGATTTGAAAACCATGTTCTCTTACTGTTTCCTGTCTTCTTGGAAAAATCTTACTGTTAAATCAGCTTGGATTACATAAAAGGATTAAGTGACGGTTGTGGGGGGAAAAAAACTTTTTAGTAAAAGCCACAATCTTTTTCTTTTTAAACATGTTTTGCTTGGACATACGGACATATTTCCATCTTGCACCTATATTATTTTTCTGGATATCTAAAAGATCTGTATTTATATTCCTTCTAATATTTAATAAAGAAAGGATGCACTAATATTGAATTCAAAAGCATATGTTACTCCCACTTATTAAATAGTAAAACAAAAATAAAGCAAATAAAAAAAATCTACAAACAAGAAAACCAAAAACCATACTGTTAATCTGCCAGACCAAATGCAAGACACAAATGGAGATAAATTAAGCAAGAGGAACCCAGAAAAATGAACAATTAATTCAGCTCCAAAATCCAGGCTTTAGTTTTGCTATTCATAAATACTTTTTGAAAACATTTTGTTTCCTTCTATCATGTTGTCATCTGCTACTATACACTACATGAATTATACACCAATTTAAAAAATCAACATACCAGTAAGGTGTTTAAGCCTGGATGCCTCAATGAGACAGATTCTGCAATAATAAGGTGATATTATATAGGACATTTGCAGCACATGCTCCGCCTTAATGGAAGTGTCCATATTTCCTCATGCTCACGTGGAGAGTGAAGAAGGCTAATCTTGTCCTTTGCACATACTGGGGTCTTGATTCAGATGGGATTAGGGAAGCACAATTGATTTTAATTTAAATTCCAGCTATAATAGGTACTTTTTGTATTATCTTTAATTAGATGCTTAGAAATAGTTTGTAAATAAGCCATGTCACATCACTTATGCTGTTAAACTAAAATTTACCATTCGGAGTAGTAGAGATTAGCACGAAGATCTCAAAACCACTATTCCATGTAATTCTGAAGTATATCCCACAGCCTCAAAAATCTCCACCTGGAATACAGAGTGATAGACAGATATTTGTTTGTCAATCACAGTCTTTTGTGTGTGTGCACATTTTATGAATTTAAAGCAGAAACGGGACAAAAAGTCAGTTGGGGACAACTTCCATGAATCTTGAATTGTACAATAATATTTCTTGGAAAAAGAGCCACATCATTCTTAGTAGGGATATATGCAGCACCTATCCTAGAATTTCACCATTACTGAAAAACTCTGAAGTTGCTTTTATTAAAACAATTTTCTGCTTCTTAAAAGCTTTATACTATCTTTTTATCACAAAGCACAGAAGTATAGTTTTATAGAATATCTTCTGTAAGTTTCAGTTTGTGTTTATAATGCTGGTAACATTTCAAAAATATTAGTAATGATGGCTAGAATTTACAATGGAACAAAAAAGCAGCCTTATTTAACAGGTATTTTCTTCATTGTGATTCTTCGGTACATACTTAAGTACTGTTATTTGTTGATACTGTAAATCAGACCTTACTTAAAATTAAGATTATTTCTGTATTTGCTTTTTTTTGAAATCTCTATCTCTGCATGTTTGTAGATTAATGGAGAAATATTATATTGTTTTTGAGGAATTGTGTTTACCTCTGCCATGGAGAATTAATTGCCAAAGTAATTATATTAAGAATTTGCAAAAAAAAGTTTGTTTAGACTCTAGATATTAAGAATTAGATTCAAGAGATATGTAATTTATCCATTTCTGAAAATGCAAACTTTTCTATCTAGTTAAAAAATGCATTATATTTCTCTTTGCTATAATTTCATGCTTTATAGCAAAAAAGATATGCTTATATTCTTCTCCCCCTTTTTCTTTTCTGTTTTGTTTCTTATTATTGGTATCTTTTTTTTTCTTGAATTTTTGCATACTCTTTTTTGAAAGTTATAGGAACATATTTTTAAAGGTTAGTGTTATTTCCTAATGATGGTACATAATTCATTGAATTCTGTTGATAAAACATTTGCTTGCTTTCTCTAGCACTGTTTGTCTAGCAACAAGCAAAATATGAGATGTAGTTGTTGGAAAGAAAATGAGAAAAATGCACACGACAAAAACAAATAGCACATCATAAATATGGGATTTGACTGTGCATGGGTTTGAGTTATTTATAAAAGTTTTGCCATTTTTCCTCTGTTTAAAGTATATTAAATTATGTCCAGGATCTCCATTTTCATGAATATAAAGACTGAGTGTATTTGAAAAAAAGCTTATAGCAACTAATTTTGCATGATTATAGAGGGCCCATGTGAAAAATGTAGAATTTGTGATAGCAGAAAAGCAATTATGATATATAAATTATATGATTTCCCACTCATCTAGTATCAATGTTTTTTTATCAGTGTGTGATTAAAAATTCAATAAATGTAAAGATAAAATTGTTATAATTTTTTTCTAATTGCCTTCCAGTATTTCTGAGAATAAAATCAGAACTCAATATTATTTTTTAGTTTTACCCTTCTCCAAGGACAGCAGTACATATGATGTTTAATTTGCAATATCAAAAAACAGAATAAATTAAAACTGTGCTACAAAGTGATGGCACAAAACCATAATGATAAACACATTTCCTCATCAGTAACAATGGATTGTGTTCCCTTTTTTTAAACAGAATTGATTATCTGGTGAGAGCTGTTGAAAATAGAGGAAATATGAGGTATGTATGTATGTATTTATTTAGATCCTTATATTAGATCCTTTATTACTTTTACGAATAACTCAAGGCACTGAACATATAGAATAGAATAGAACAGAACAGAATAGAATTCTTTATTGGCCAAGTGTGATTGGAAACACAAGGAATTTGTCTTGGTGCATGTGCTCTCAGTGTACATAAAAGAAAAGGTACATTCGTTTATCCAACACATTTTCTTCCTCCTATTTTCCCCACAACAACAAACCTGTGAGGTGGATTGGGCTGAGAGGCAGTGACTAGCCCAAAGTCACCCAACTGGTTTTCATGTCCAAGGCTGGACTTGAAGTCAATGTCTCCTGCTTTCTAGCCTGATGCCATAATCACAAAACCAAATTGAGTCTTATGGGTATATAAACAAATAATTTATAAACACCAGATTTTTACACTCTCCAAATCACATCTCAGGTTTAATTTGCATTAATATTGGAATATAAGGATCTTGAGATTACTTATTTGAAATTAGTATTTAAAAATTGTTTATGCAAGTTACTTATATAATAGAAAAAAATATAAAAACATATTTAATGAGGCTAAAGGAGGATAACTAATGAACAATAAAAGTAAAAGACATGAAGAAAACTTTTCAAATTTTACAGAAATTAATTTCTGCCATTCAATTTACTGTTTCATTTTAGAAATAGGGTCACAATTAAAATATAAGCTGCTTGAAGACTGAATATCTCCGTTCCTAGTAAAGAAAACTCTTATTATTCAGAAATAAGAATAACCCTTAAAAGCATTAAAGTATAACAGAATTTGGAAGATAAAGCAATACAGTTGCATGAATTTGCCTAGAATGGTTTTGATTATATTTTCTTAGAAACATTTAAGGAATGTAATTGATACTTTCATTATAGAGTCATATTCTATGTGTGTTTTAGATCTAGAAACTATAATAATCATAAATTAAGAGTATTTTTGTTTTGTGATCATGTCTTTCCTACCTACCTACCTACTATTTATTAACTAGAATTTTGACTTCCCAGGAGCTACACATACTGAATGTCTTCAAAGTAATTAACATTGTATTATCCTGGATAGTTAAATAAGGCATGAAGATCAGAAACTAGGAGACAATGAATCTTGTCCTGCCTTAGGCAATTGACCTTGGGCAAGTCACTTTAACCTGAGAAAGAAGGCCTACATGAGGACCAAAAACATTGTAGAAAGTGAAATCATGCTTGAGGATTCTTTTTTGCAGGATGCCAGGCTCCCATTCATGTTTTTAAAACTGAAATAATATTTCAAAACTAACTAGAACAGGGAGAATGTTAGTCAACAGGGAATGAGTTGGTGAAAGCAATGGATAACACACTAGGGGCACAGGCAATAAAGATAGCAAAAACTGGGGTAATAGAGACAGCCTATCAATTAAACTCATTTTTAAAAAATGAAAATTGCAAACAAAGAAAACTGTCTTCCCCAAGGCCAAATCAGCAATAATAAGGCAGAATTAATTACCATAAAAGCTACTTAAAAAAGCTTTCCCACTCTAAAGCCACTAAAAGATAAATGTAAAAATAAAAAATAAAAGCGTCCTTACTGCTCCAATGTTTTGTTTTTTTTTTTTTTTTTAGAAAGAGTGTGTGTGTGTGGGGGGGAGTGGATTTCTCCTTAGCATCTTCAAAGTTGGGACTGACAACAGTGTTAGCAGCAGAGAAAGCCTCAAGTTTCTCTCCTGAATTAGCCTCCTTTTCTTTAGGAGGTTCAAGCTGCACCACAAAGGCTTCCCTTTCTCTTGAGCAAGATTCTTCTGTAACATGAAATTTAGCTTAATTCAAATGAATGATCTTTAGTTAAAGGCAAGTTTTAGAATCATTAACAAGATCCAGGAAGGTCAGAAGACTGACAACATAAAGGGGGGAAGGACTGAAATCCTCTATTTATCCAAGTGAAAATGAAAGCAATCGAAAAAATATTTTTTTGTCTCACTGTTTCAGAGTTTTGAAAAACAAAACAAAAAAAATCAGTTTTCATCTAAACACAGCAGGTAAACAAACTAGAACTAGAAAAGAAAGGTTGTAGAGAACTTCTCCAGAACAAGTAGAAAACAATCACATAAAAAGCTAGTATTGCAGTCAAGAGGCAATGAAGAAATATATGGTTTTCCCTTGTAAGGGTGCGACAGGTCAGGATGTGTCATACTCCTCTTCAGCTGCTAAGGACTGAGTCTGTGTAAAAGGTTTATTAGCCTAGCTCCGCCCACTCTGGGTAACTCCTCCCCAGTTCTACTCAGTCCTTGGCTGAAGAAGGGCGTAAACCAGTGATGGCTAACCTATGACACGCACTTTGACTGACACGCCTGTTGGTGTGGGGAAAACCTGCACATTTAGAGGCTGCCTGTGCTCTGCTCCAATCCCGGCTCCCTGCTTGTTGCGTGGAGGCGTGGTGTCACCGCTGCCGCAAGATCTTTGCAGCAGAGAACCAGTTTTAACCGCCATAAACTGAGGTTTGTCAGTTTCATTACCTCAGGAACGCTACAGGAGGAAAGGAGATCCATGAGGTTCACAGCCCTGTAAGGTGGCCTTCCGATCCCCACATCCTGCACCTGCAGCCCTGAGACCAGGGAGACGAGTTTCACAGCCCTGTGTGATCACCCCAGCCCAGTCTGTCATAAACCAAATTATTGATATTTCTTGAAGTGACACACGACCCGAGGAAGGCTACACTTTTTCCCGATTTTCAACACACCAAGCTGAATAGGTTAGCCATCACTGGCGTAAACAATTGCCTCTCCTGCCTTTGGAGTTCCTTCCCAAAGACAGACTTGTAAGGAAAACTTTTCTTTTTTCCTTTTTTCTTTTAAAAAAAACATCAGACAGAGCCTTCCCCTTTAAAAGTCAGCGGCTCCGCTTCCCAGCAAGTTATGGAGCCACCAAACAGCTGAGGCTGCTTCGAGGACCCGGAGCAGCCTGCAAGGGCTGCAGGGCCAATTTTAGCCCTCCGGGGTGAAAAGGAAGGCTCCACACAGCCGGACAGCCATTTTTCTTTGAGGGTCAAGGTTCGGCCTTTCCCAGGAGCCGCAGGGCTGTTTGGGGCATTCCGCGGCGAAGAAAAAGAAGCTGGACAGCTTTTTGGAAGAGTGGGGGCGGCGACCACACTCTAATTGTGCTTCGGGGCTTATCGAGCAGCCGAAAGGTTAGCGCTGCCTCTCTGAGCTGCCTCTGACCTGAAGAGCAGCAAAGCTGCAGGGAGCCATCTTTCTGGGCTAGAAGATCAAGCCTCGTGGCCAGAAGAGGCCAAATTGAATCAAGCCTCATGGCCAGAAGCAGCCATTTTGAGTCAAGCCTCATGGCCAGAAATGGACATTTTGAATAGCCTTGTGAGCCGGTGGCCATCTTGAGATCACCAGCGGCCATTTTGAAGAGGCCTGGCCTGCTTCTTCCCACCGCTCCTGGCCTTGCTGTCTCCATCAAGCCCAGTTCTTGCTGCTGCTGAGTGAAGACATCGAAGGGTAGGCGCCTTTTTATTTAAATTTCTGGTGGGGGATTGGCTTCCCTATCCCAAAGAAGGGCCTTCAGGCTTCCAGCCGTGCCTGGTCTATATTTAATTGCCCTATTAGGCCCAGGAGGGTATGAGTCCCAGTAGGAAGTGTTAAAACTTCCTACTGAAGTTGCATAGGGCAGAAGAGAGTGATGGTTGGTGTGGGGATGGAGAAGATTTCCCCTGAAGTCCCTTTATAAATCCCTTCGTAGGTTCTCCTCCTTGCACAGGACTTTCAGTCCAGAATAGGCCTTGCTGTTCCAAGATGGCTGAAGCCCCAAGGGAAACCAGAGCTTCCAAAGCTGCCAACCCTCAAAAGGTGGCTCCTGATGCTTCTACCAAAGGAAAGCAGCTTGTGAAGAAGGCCTCAAAAGCGGAGGAGAAGGATACTTCCAGGCGCCATCAGGCCATAGAGAAGCAGATAGTCAAGGTGCATCAAGCCTCTACTCGCTTAATGACTGCAAGAGCTACTTCTCTAGCATCACTCATCAGTGAAGTGGATTTCTTCTAGGCCCAGCATCCATATTTGGTCCCTTGATGTGTCCAGGAGAGGCGCTTCTCCTATTCTCTCTGAAGGAGGCAGTCAACTTGATGAACTTCAGGGAGAAGCTGTACCTTGGCAAGAGCATGGGCGTAGTAGGCAGGGGGTGGAATCCTCCTTTCCTTCTACTGCTGCTGGGACCAGACCAGCTGAACCTTCTGAATCGGATGTCCCTGTCAACTTACAAATTCTGATCGACAAGGCCATCAGGAAGGGCATCTCAGAAGGCTTTCAGAGAGCGACCCAACATTCTTCTGCAGCTTTTGATTTATCAGAGAGACAATCCTGGGTTCGAGAAGCTCTCTTGTTCAAAAAGAGGTTCCTTTCTCCAGGATACTGTTTCTGTGTTGGTTGAGGACTATGCTCCTGCTCTCTCAGTGGCTCCATCCTTGGTGGAGGAACCTGACAAGCTGGAATCTGACATGTCAGCAGATGAAGGCACCTCCCACGAGGTTCCAGTGTTCACGGGTTGCTTCAAACACACCTTATTCAGTCCCTTGTACAAGGCGAGGAACACGGCCCACCTAAAGGGCGCAGATCACCTCACCAATCTGAAGGGCACAGAATAGCTGCCTCTCTTCCTCCTGAGTCAGATGTTCTCTTCGATGAGCCAGAGGTGAGGAAAGAAGCGGTCCCATCTCCTCAACTGTTCCTGAAGGTTATTGGGAAACAGCTGGAATCACCTGCCTCAGGACCCAGTCCCCTGGCTTCCGTTTACAGTTTTTTCAACATGAGGCCTGAGCTCACAAAAACACTCCAAGTTCCCACAGTGGATGCTCCTGTGGCAGCTTTGGCTTCCTCATCTTCTGCCCCATCTGATCCGGAGGAGATCCTCAAGTCAGAGGAAAAGCGTGTGGAACAATCGCTCCAGAGATCCCACCTGGCGGCTGCCTGGGTGGTCAAGGCATCTTCTGCAGCGTCATTCTTCACCAGGACGTCGGTCAAGTGGCTGAAGCAGTTGAGAGATGGAATTCCTACATCAGATGTCCGAGCCCACCAGGACATCAATAATATCATGGCGGCCACAGCTGATGCCACTCTGCATGGGACCATGTTCACCACGAAAGCCATTGCTTCCTCGGTGGCGGCCAGGCGCATATGTTGGCTGTGCAACTGGCAAGCAAATGGAAGGAGGAAGTGGAATTTGGCGTCTTCCTCCGTCCAAGGGGATAAGCTCTTCGGCGAAGTCCTCAAGTCCTTTTTGATGGAAAAACAGGATAAGTGGAAGATCCTTCCTTCGCTTCTCAAGAGGGCGGAGTATCGGATGGCTCCTTACTTCAAACGTCCTCAGTTTCGAGGGGAAACCAGTTCCAGCTTCCACCGGCCATCCGAGCCCTTACCAATGCCAAGAACCTCCTCCAGATCATTCAGGCAAGGGCAGGCAGCAGTTTACTGCAAAACGGCCCTTTCGAGGAGGAGGAAGTTGCCCGTACCACCGCCAGCGCCAGTGCACAGTCTATTCCCATTGGTGGCTGATTATCTTGGTTTGCAGACCAATGGGAGGGAATTACTTCTGATGCCTGGGTTTTGTCCACAGTTAGATCGGGTCTTTCACTGGAATTCTACCCCACTCCTCCAAGGTACTTTATCTCCTGCCCAGTATCTAGGGTCGCAGGGAGAAGGGACCATCCAGCATTTGTTGGACCTCAGGGTCATTCAGGAGGTCCCCCTTCACCAACAGGGAATGGGGTTTTAATCCAGGATTTTTGTTATCCCCAAGCCTCGGGGGGTGGTGGAGGACAATTCTTGACCTAAAAAGGCTCAATAAATATGTTGTATACAAGCGTTTTAAGATGCACTCTCTTTCTTCTATTCTAGAGAGTGTTCGGCAGGGGGATTTCCTCACATCCATAGACTTGACGGAAAGTTATTTACATGTTCCCATCTGTTCTTCACAAAGGCAGTTTTTAAGTTTTTGTTACCAGGGGCGGCATTATCAATACAGGGCTTTTCCCTTTGGGTTATCTTCTGCCCCTAGAGTGTTCACCAAAGTTCTGGCTCCCCTCGCAGGGCACCTTTGTTCCTTTCCGGTGCGTCTGCTGTGTTATTTAGATGATATTTTAATCATGTCTGCTTCCTTTCAAAGGGCTCAGTGGGATCTGCAGGTCACGATGTCAGTTTTGCGGGACCTGGTGTTTTCCATTAATAGGAAAAAGAGCCATTTCACTCCTTCTACCCATCTTCTTCATTTGGGGGCCATTATTGACACTAGAGTGTGTCAGGTTTTCCTTTCATAGGAATAGCTGGACAGCCTGCAGGGGATGATTAGGGGCATTCGGAGCAAGCATTCTACCCCTTTAGCCCATTTATCTCCACTTTTGGGTAAAATGGCTTCCTGTATTGGCATTGTTCCTGGGCCAGGCTTCATGCTAGGTCTCTGCAGTGGTTCTTGTTACCTCATCAGAGGTCTGGGTCAAGCCATTCCCTTTGGAAGGTAAAGTTGACTAAGCACGTTTTACTTTCCTTTCACTGGTAGCTATCTAGAGCTATGTCCAAGGGCCATTCCTTTAAGGTGGAGACTTGCCTTGTCCTCATGACGGATGCTTCCTTATCTGGTTGGGGGGGCTCACCTGGATTCCCTCTGGGCCCAGGGCTTATGGTCTGTGGAGGAACAGGCTCATAGCATCAATTGGTTAGAACTCAGAGCGGTCTGTTTGGCCCTGAGACAGTTTAGGAATCAGGTCTCTGGGATGCATGTCCTGGTTATAACGGACAATGTTGCCACTAAAGCCCATATTAACAGAGTCATCTTCTGTCTATCCGAGCTGATCACATCTCGAGCTTGGATAATGTTCAGGCGGACTAGCTGAGCAGGACCTCAGTTGATCACTCTGAATGGAGTTTACATCCCTCTCTCTTTCATCAAATTATGCACATATTTGGTCTGCCAGAGGTGGATTTGTTTGCCACCCCCCCCCCTTAATGCCCAATTGCCTAGCTTTTTCTCTAGATATTTTGCCCAAGGGGCAAAGGGACCAACGCCTTGCATTGTAGCTGGCCTCCCAGCTTGTTGTAAGCCTTTCCTCCATTGCCTCTGCTCTCAGCCGTGATTCGCAAAATCTTATTGGAGAAAGCCAAGGTGATATTAGTGGCTCCCTACTGGCCTCGTAGGTCGTGGTTAGCTGATTTGATGGGTCTCTCAGTGCCCCCCCCGGCAGATTCCTGAAAAGATGTCTCTCTTCTTCAGGGGTCCCTGATTCACCCAGAGCCCCAGTGGCTACATCTGGCAGTTTGGCGATTGAGTGGGATGTCTTAAAAAGCTCCCACCTCTCCAACAAGGTGATCAAAACTATTCAGGCCTCCAGGAGACCCTCAACCATCCATATTTATGAGGCTACATGGCAATCCTTTTCTACTTGGTGTACCAAGGCTAACTTTTCACCTCTGAAAGCTTCAGTGGCTACTGTTTTGGAGTTTCTTCAGGCTGGCCTGGATAAGGGTCTTGCCCCCAACATGCTTCATAGGCAGGTGACGGCTATCTCTTCAGTGCTGACTTGTGGGAAATTAGAATCTTTGTCTCAACACCCTACTGTTCGTAGGTTCCTCAGAGGTGTGACCAACCTTTGTCCTCCTATGGTACATAGGTACTCTACTTGGGATTTACCCAAGGTCCTAAAGTCCCTTACCAGACCTCTGTTTGAACCTCTCAGACAGTCCAGCCTGCATCTTCTTATACTGAAAGTGGCATTCTTGGTGGTAGTTACTTCGGCGAGGAGGGTTTCTGAGTTGGTCGACCTCTCAGTTCGTCCTGATCTCTGTCTTTTCCATCCCCACTGGGAGGTTTTACGTTTGGACCCGGCCTTTATTCCTAAGGTAACACCTCCTTCCACAGAGCTCAGGAACTGGTTCTCCTGGATTTTTGTCCCCATCTGGTCCATGAGTTGGAGAAGGCTTGGCACACTTTGGATGTGCGCAGAGCCTTAAAGTTTTATATCAAAAGGACAGCTGAATTCTGCAGGACGGAATCTCTTTTTTGTTCCTTCCAACCTTCGACATTGGGAGGAAAGGTGACTCCATCCACAGTAAGTAGCTGGATCAAGGTATGCATAGCTCAAGCCTATTCCAGTTGGTCCCTTCTGATACCTAGGGGCATCACGGTGCACTCCACTCGCAGTGCTGTGACTACGTGGACGTCCCCTTCGCCTTTCATCTGCCACTACAGGCTGGACTCCTTTGCTTCAGCGGATGTGGTGTTTGGAAGATGGGTCCTGCAACGGGTCGTTTCAGACTGTGAAGGCCAGGACCGATCTTAACCCTCCCGAGGACAACCGTGCTTTGGTATGTCCCATCCTGACCTGTTGCAGCCTTACAAGGGAAAATGCGCATTGTTTACCTGAATGCCAGTTTTCCTTGTTAGGCAAGACAGGTCAGCCCCATCCTTTGGGGAATGGTCTGGCCAAATGGCCTATAGGGGGGCGTTTCTGATTACGTTCTTGTTCTTTTTTCCATTTTCTTAGAGGCAATTCAGTCTGTCGCATGGTCTTCGCAGAACTGGGGAGGAGTTACCCAGAGTGGGCCGAGTTAGGCTAATAAGCCTTTTACATAGACTCAGTCCTTAGCAGCTGAAGAGGAGTAACACCTATCCTGATGTGTCTTGCCTAACAAGGAAAACTGGCGTTCAGGTAAACAACGCCCATGTTTGCCCCAGTCATCACTGAGGAAAAGATTCCAAACTATAAAAGAAATATTACTTTAGTATTATAGGTTTTAACAAAAGATTGACATTTCTGGGCAGGAAATCTATTTCTTCATTTTATCAAAAATTTTAACACCAAGAATATCTCTGGAATACATGCAATTGTAGTATTAAAACAATGCTCAAACTGCTGAATCTTACCTAAGTTTTATTTAGACTGTTAAAGAAAGTGGTTGGCATCATACTACAACTTTTATAATGCTGAGTATTCAACCATTTTCTGTAGTAATCCAGTGTGAGAGAACAAAAACAAAGAATTGGCAGCAAATAAGCATAAATCTCTTCCAATTTTCACCAAAAGGACAGCAGATGACTGTATGTCAAATTACATTTTGGCAAAAAATATATTGTTGTGTCTCCAACTGCTTGTGTAAAAACACTAGCAACAAGTGAAAGACAGAAAACCAACTGCAAAGAAAACTAGGATTTTATGGAAACATAGAAATCAAATAAATACAGTATGGAGGAATTAAAAACGTGTTCTTAACATTTTGAGAATGGTTTTTATAGTTCTTGGCATAGGTAAAAAACTCTCCTATCTGATCAGACATCACTTGAATTCCAGATTAGAACTCCAGGAACTAAGCTAGTATACCCAGCACATCCCACAGTTGTAGAAACATTTCTACGTCATCCCTGATCCATGGAGGCCACTCAATTCAGAGTTCAAGGTTGGTGACAGCATGTTTGTGTGTGAAGGTTTGAACTTGTTATCAGGAAATACACCCTCTTCCTCAAACATACTCTACTATAAACACCACCCCTTCTCCTCCTCCTTTATATTGGCAGGTTATTATTAGTTCTTATTTTTTTGGCTTAATAATAGGCAGAGTCTTATGTTGCTGGGTTTTTAAAAATGTGATATTTTATATATTTAAATGAAATGTTTAACATATGAAAGGAAATAAGAACAGTCTTTGTTCTCAAAATGAGCTAATAATTTTCAGGTGATCAAACTATAAAAATATTAACTGTTACCCTCTACTCTAGTCATTTAAGAAACTACAATAACTAAAATAGGTGATTTTGAAAAGGTTTTTTTAGATATATTTCTGAGGCTGCAATGCAATGCATTGACTTTAAATTCATCAAAAGGTTATGCAAATTAAGAAAATGGCAGGAATGTAGGACTTTGCTTCAGAATCTTTCAACAGAAACTCTGATTTAGCCTTCTTTCACTGTGCTAGATGGCATTTGGCAATCTATATATATTCCTGTCCAGGAAACTATCTCCTAATCCTAATGTACCTCAAATAGAGGTTACAGGCACTGAAAAACAACTCCATCAACCCAAGATGATTAAAGGTGACAGCTGAGAGGACAGAGTTATACTTAAAAAGAGGGCTTTAGTATGTGGTCATTATAACTTGCATTTATAGTAAAGCAAAATAATAATAATAATGCACAGCTCTGGTTCAAAGAGAAATAGGAGCTTCAATGTATGAGATGTGCAATTAGCACACACACACAGACACACAGAGGCTCAAAGAGACTAGCCTTTCACCCAGCACCTGTGCAATCCTTCTGGCATTCAAAAGGTCAAAATATAAAATGTGAAGCCATTTCTATAACCAGAAACTACAGGGAGAACAGTAGTCTCATTCTTTTCCCAGCCTTCCAGCTGAAAGTGTGTAGACTGCCAGCCTGGCCTGGGGTTTGGCACTAGGCCATATTCACAACAATTAGATATTAACTTTATTATCTGGTGCATTATGAATCATATGCTCATTCAAATATGGCACAGCTCATGCTTTTGCACACTTTGTTTTAGGCCATGGGTATGCAATAGTGTCTTCCACCTAACTCAGAAGAGCAATATCCCAAATCCCCTGACACTAGCCATGCAGCTGTGATTGACAAGAGCAATACTGTAGTGACAAATCTGGAAGACACAAAGTTGCCCACTTCTGGTTTAGGATTATCTGCCAAAAGATAAACTGTAAAAATCTGACTGAATGCCCTTCACACAAAAATAGCTATATGAATAAGCTAATCCAAAAATCACAAAACAGGGAAGAATGGGGTAAAACTGCTTTCCTACTCCTATTTTCCTACATGCAATTGATTGTGTATCAGTGTGTGTGTGTAATATGGTTAGTATTTAGGAGCAGAACAAAAGGAGGAAGGGAAGAAGGAGAGAAATAGAAAGAAAACATCCCACAGGAACCTTAACTTCACTCCATAGCACATTTATCATTTTACAGAAACATACAGTGCGTTATTTTAACTTGCTATTCCTAGAAAGAATTAAACATTTCTGCCAACACCCACAACTTTTCTTAAAAACTGTAAACATTATGCAGAGCCTTTCAGACTATTTTGCCTTTGCCAGTATTCCTCCAAATAAATCCTCAGTTAGGAAGTCATCTTATCACCTGATTGGCTAAAAACTAGGCATGAAACTACTTTTTATAGAGACATGGTAAACATATCCACTAGATGGATCAAACAGAGGTGAAATTGCTTAGAAATCTTCTTTTGTTGATAACTGGAGTCTTTCTGAATCTGAAACCTACTTGTTAACCTGAAATCCAGATATTTATGAGCATCACATGTTTTTTTCTGCTGCTTTTCTTGTTTAGCCAAGTATGCAATGCAGGGAACTACCCAATCTTATATTTGAAATACTGATGTTTTAATTTACTTAGTTTGGACAATTTAAAGGAATTAAAGTGATTTGGGGGTCATAGGATATAGAAATATGTTACTCTTTATATGTTTTAACAGTTATATCCAAAAATAGAACAAAAGAATGTCTGTAACATACAGCTTTAAAATATCTCTTGTGGGATTAAAAAGCTCTTATCTGTTGTGCATGTTCCAATTATTTGCTTACTGATCCAGGTAGTTGGTGATTTATGACTGTTTGTTTAATGATGATCTGGAATTATGACAGCCTCAGAAATTATATCCATTTAAAGATAGGAATGCTCTGCTCATTCTTATTCATACTCTTGAGACCTCCCATTTGGACTACTGCAATGCATTCTACATGTGGTTGAGGGCCATTCAGGAGCTTCAGCTGGTACAGAATGCAACTGCACAGGTTGTAAATGGTGTTGTCTATTTGATACATGTAACACCATAGTTGAACAAAGAATGAAGGTTATGCTTTTGATAACAGTCTATCATCAATGCTTAAGAAGAACTGATGAAAATGGGAAATGTGGAAACTTTCCTTGTAAGTTTTTGAACAGCTCTAGGTCCCCCATGCCCATGCTTTCATTTTTCTCACTACATTGCAAACAAATTTGGTATCTTTTCAGATGCTTCAGCAGTGACTTATCTGAAAATTATTGATACATAAGTAATATACCTTGTAAGCTTGATTCTCAGTAACATAAAATGGGTGCATCCATCTGAAAACACTATTCCAAATTGGATTTGCAATGTTCAACAGAGAATACAGCTAATATGGAGCGATATGTAAATCCAATATAACATTGTAAAGATTTACACTGATCACTAAGTTGTACTGGTGTATATCTGCAACCAACCAGAAGACTGTATGTATATGTAAGCAATAGGGTTGAATGCATCAGAAAGTGAATCTAACTACAATAGTGGCATTATGTTTCTGCTGAGCAGAATTCTACAAACCACACTTCAAGGTCAGAACATGCAGAACAATGAGCATAAACATAGACAGCATGGCTTATAAAGCCAGAATTCCCCCTACACTGTAAAAACTTAATTACCAAGGACATAAAACTTTTTAAATTTATGGAATCTGAATCTATACAAAAATCTGCCCTCAAGAGTCTCTCATCCTTAATATCTCATCACACTCTTTTATATGTTACTTAAAATGGTCAACTCTGTTATGATCTATTAAGCACCTCATACGTATTTCTTGATACTCTCTCCTAAATCATGAAGATATCCCTGCTTTTTTACCCTGCAGTTCTGCACCATACCTTGCACCTGCAATAACTTCTGTCAAACATAGAGAATCATTATCTACAGTAGAGCTCCTTAACCTTTTTGTGCTTTGAGACTTTGCTGAAACCTACAGACCCATTCTCAGAAAAACCTAACTAAAACAAAATACATCAACTATAGTTATTAGAAACCAATCATGGAAACAAACAATGCTCAAATATAATCACCAAAATAAAAATATGTAATGTGAGGTTTTTTATTTAAGCCATGAAATCAATAATAAGATGAGCTAAATTAGTTTAAGCTTAATATTCATATTAAGCTTAAAATATTCTTTTCCCCATACAAGATTACAGATCCCTTGAAATCTCTATAGATTCCAAGTTAAAAACTTCTGTCCTACAATAAGAAGCCTCAAACCCTGGACTGCAGACCAGTAGTGGTCCACAGCCTATTAGGAACCAGGCCACACAAGTCAGCGAAGCTTCAGTTGCGCGTGTGTGGAATCTAGATAGCACACGAAATCACCCATCACCCCCAAGTCTGTAGAAAAATTAATTTCCTGGAAACTGGTCCCTGGTACAAAAAAGGTTGGGACTATCCTACAGCATCCATAGGACATCGATCAAGAGAATAAGAAGGAAGGAATTCATAAATGTAGTCTCTGTATTAGGTAATTCATGGAAAATGAGAATGCATATGCAGAATCTGCATCACTAAAAAAAAATCAAGGAATGCTGTTATTTCCTAACCATGTACAAAAATCATCAAAGTTGATGGCCAACAATGATGCCAAACCACACAAGAGTGAACAAAATGTTGTTAGTATATCTAATCAGCACTATATTAAAATTTTACAGGCTGCAAAATTTCCTTGACAATATGACTATATTGGAGAAAATGTGGGATACTAGTGTTAAATTAACATTATTTAATATAAATGATATACCAATGGTAAATGACACTGGCTAAACAGTCAAAAATGTATAAAGGAGTATCAAATTAGTGTAGGAAATTTCTTTACCATGCATTGTAAAGAAATTTTGGGTGCAAATTCCATCATAATAAAAAAGGTACTGCAAATTAATATTATAATCAAACCAGAATTATTATTAGATTTTATAAGTGCTGAACTAAAAAGAAATATGGGAAACTATATGATAACAGCAGCAATAAAACAGATGAAGAATAATAAAATAATCATAGAAGAAGATTGAATTATAAACTTGACTTAATTTTATAATCGCAAAAATGGCAAAAGTAATTAATTTGGTCAGGGGGAAAAATACTATTTTAAAAGACTAGAAGCCTTACATGGACTTTTTGCTGAAAGAAGAAACAATGGAACTAAAAGAAGAAAAGATAGAACTGATGACTGAGGAATTTGGAGATTAAAAGGATTAAACAGAACAGGGAAAGAGTAGGATGGGAATCACTGAATAGAAAAAACAGCGGAAGTCAAAATTCTGTGCTTTCTTTTTTCTTTTCATGTTTATACTTTTATTGTGTTATAAAATTCTAATTAAAATATTGTTTTAAAAAGCACTGTATTAATAATTTTACTTGTACATCACTATAATGGCAGAAGAAACATCACCACTAACATTTTATGGAAGATATCGTTACAACTGTAGGCCTGATGGATCGAATCTCAAAGTATCTGATTGTTGTTGCCCACTGCATCCTGGTCTATGTGGTTGTCAAACACAGGTATGCTCAGCTCAGTTATGGTGTTTTGACTACTCCTTTGGATAAAGACATCATTATTATTAATTCAAAGCCTCTGATTCCTGTCTCTACTGATCCAGAATCTCCTAATATCCCCTGCTATACTTTTCACTCAGAAGAGTGGAGTGAACTTAGCACCACTTGAGGGGTTTACCATCAAGGACCTGTACTTCAACCAAGACAGATACCAACTCTCACCAACTCATTTGAAACCACCACAACTCTACTAGAAAAGATGTAAATAGCAGTCCACTCAACAGCAACATGAAAAATAAAGTAGATTCATGGCTCCTGAAATTCATCACTCAAACTATGTGCACTCGAGATGAAAATATTTGAAAAGCAGAAATTAAATAAATGACCATAAAACTCTTTTCAGGTCTATCACTGAAAGATGCATAGTTAATATGAATTAAACTAGTACATATTAGAAATATTCAAACTATTTGCATCCAAAGCAGGAAAGAAACTTCATATTTGGTGTGGCTATGATCACTGTACCTGTCACTAGATCCTTAAATAAATTATGCACTTTTTAAAAAAACTGTCAGTGAGTTCATATGGCATCTGTATGGTCCAAAAAAGTGCGTATTTGAATTAAAGTTGCAATGTTACAATCATCTCTCTAACTCAACACACATATATTCCTAGGATCATGCAACTACCACATGAGTGTACAAATGACGTGGTTTCTTTAAATAGTTATTGACAGGTACAGCTAACATGGTAATGTTGGATCTTAAGAACATTTTACCAGGAACAAGCTTCATTGCAGACCTGGAACATGTTTTTGGGGTAAGACCCCAGATATTAAATCAGCACTGTTGCTACTTGTGAAGTTTTTTTAAAAAATTAACCTGATATTAATTCTAATGCAATTGTTTTGATAATAAGCACTACATTCTACATTTTTAATAGTAAGAACTATATTCTCAAACTAATTATTTAAACAATTCTTACCTACAGAAGTCATTAGCATAACTTCATTGCGCTTTGATTCAAGTTTTTCTCTCACCCATGGAAACTCTTGTAAGGATTCTAGAAATGCTTCAAATGCCTTAGGGCCTCTTGTTGGGAGGATGTCAAGAAGTACCAAAGTTTTCCGTTGGTTAGTAACTTGGGCCTTTATTTCTTGCACATGATTGTCTGTTAGAATTTCTTCTTGATAAAGATATTGAATGATAAGACCCTCAACCAGCAGCTCTGCACACAGCTCCAGGCGCAAGGAGCGCAGAACCTGCTTGTCTCTGGCATCCATCCTGAGAAAGAAAAAAATATGTGAGTAGCCAACTTTGAAAACATCACTTTGGAACCCTATCAATATGCATTTGTAAAATATGGCTAATTATTTTTATAAAGGTGGTTATGATGAGATTTTTCATAATAGAACAGTTTCATGTTCCTATAGAAAAGATGCCACCAAAATGTGACATTTGTAGCCATATCTTTGGAGACTAGAACTTCTACCATTAATGGTGTGTCACCTAGCTTGGATGTTTTTTGAACTGCAGGTTGTGTCCAGGGCATATTTTAAAAGACCCAGAAGACTCTTATTTAATATTTCATGACCATTGATATCTGTCGTAAAGACTAGGACAAATCTAAAATATAGACATCATTGATTATGGTTTATCATTTTAAGCTGGAATGTTTTATTCAATTTACGTTAAATTTTAAACATATGTACAACATATACTCTTTCCTGAACCAAAGGAAAGTGACTAGGTTTACAAATTATAAAAAAACATGTGGTTTGGTTCTATAACAGAATGCTGTATAAGCCTAGTTAATTGTAGTTTACTCAGCAAATAAGTTAAGCTAAATAGAGAAGAAGTTAAGTTAAATAGAGTTTGGCTGTCTGAGGAATTCTGGGAGTGGAAATGTATACATCTTAAAAGTTGCCGAGGTTAAGAAACACTGAACTACAGGAATGATGGGAAGCAGTCATATCAGGTTGTTTCCTGATAGATGGCTGATTGGTCTGACCATGCCCACAGAATTATTTGTGGGAGGACCCTTAATATACACAGATTCCAAATGTGCCCATTTGCTCCAAAAGCTTGGGCAGCTTAGGACAGTGCGCAAACCCAATTATTATCTAATGCTCTTCTCTCTTAACCTGTATTGCAACAGGTTCAATATTTCTGAACATAATTTTCTTTGAAAAACAGCTAGAAATTCAGGTGATTTAAAATACAACACTATTTTGACTGGAACTAGCTGAACAAGCTTCATCTTCTATTTTGTATGTAGCTTTGTTTTTAAATCCACAGACCAGATGGGTCCAACCTTTTGGCTCGCCTAAGTTGTAGTGAATGAAGAGAAATTGTCTTGGACAGCACATAAAATATATAATATAGCTAATGTATATAAATAGAAAACATCCTTTTTAAATACATTTTTTACAAAATCTTATTAATTACTAGCTGTCCAAGGCCATGGATTAGACATGCTTGCTCTAGTTTAAATGTTTGGAATTGGGGAATTTGAAAAGACAATATATCCACATGTGCCTCAGTCTACCTAGATCTTTAGCACAGATTCTGTTCAAAGTCCTTCACTGGCAGAAACCTCAATATGTCAACTACTATATTATTGTAGCAACAATCTTTAAAACTGTCTAACTGCGTCTGGAATACCTTATATATCCTAGTGTCTTCTAAGAAAGGTTGATATCTTTTTTACTGTAGCCCCTGATTTTCTCAAAACAGTCAGTTTAATGACACAATGTTAATATTATCCAATTGAGCTTTTTTTTGCTTTTCCATAGATTGATGTGAACCACTTTAGGAAAACTATTCAAACAAAACCTGCATGATTGTAAATATAAGCTCTAAGGGGGCCTTAGAATTACAACTAGAAACATAGCAAGCAATACAAAATATTACAAAAAAACAGCAATCAGAGAATAAATAACAGAAGCATTAAACATTTAAATGTTTAATGCTTCTATTTTTTTTCTCTGATTGCTGTTTGAAATGGTCTCGGTAATCATATAAGTTCAACATGTTTACATTTCTTGTAACAGTTTTTGTTTCTAAATATGTATGTATACTGATTTTTAATTTGTTTTTATTGAATTGTTTTCTGTTGTGAGCCACAGAGTCACTTAGATGAGTTGGGAGATCATGCAAATAGAATGAATAAATCATGAGTTTATCTTTTTTCATGGACTCCAGGATAACATATAAGGATTTTCCACACACACCCTTCTATTAATGAAGTGAGAAGAATTCCAGATTTCCTTATTTTGCCTTAAGTATATTTTTAGACCACTGTATCCAGAACCCAATTTAAGAACCAGCCACGCTCAAATCTTTATTTTGTACGGTTTAACTAGCTTTCAGACATTGCTCTTCTTCTCTATTTAAAATTATGCATGCAGCAATAACAGTCAACTCACAACGGAAAGCCATTACTTGCAAAATGTAATTCTTTAAAGTAACATTTTTTTAAAAAAAAGTAAAAATAGCATTATGTTGTCACAGAAAGAAAAACTGCAGAGAAATGAAGTTGCAGGTTTATATAAAGCCTGAGAAAATAAATCTGATTGCTCTGAAAACGCTCCGTTGGCATACTCAGCACAGTAAAAAGAACAAAAAAAAGCTGTTCTTTTAAAGTACTTACAAAATGAAGCGAAAATGTTATTTATTAACTCCAGGCGTAATTGTGAACTGCTCCCTCTGCACCATTTTTCCTGGAGAGAAAATCGCGAAGCAGGAAGTGCTGCTTTCCCACATTTTTTACAAGCAACAGACCTCGATGAAAGGCGGGCGCTTGAACCAAACTTACGCTACGATTCGAGTCGGAAGTTCTTACATCCTTTTGCCGCCATTTTGCCCTTTGCTTACTAGTTTTAGGGGAAAAGGGTGCAGCAATCTGAAACTGGAAACGTTGTTTCTGTGATTAGATGCGTGGGTTACTCGTAAAAACTGAAAAGGAACAGAAGTTTATTTCAAAACCATATTACGACCAAAAATGTGCTAGAAGCCTGGCATCTAAATATGTCGAAACTACAAGTCCCAGAATTCCGTTGACTATGCTACGAATTGTAGTTGCGTGATCCTCGGGGAAGCTACAAAATATTTCTATCTTTCTTCAAGTTGGAAGAAGAATCTATGCTTCCGAAATTCTGTACAATTACCATATATCTGAAATGAGCTGCAATTTAACTTTTTGGTATTTACTGATGAAATACACTATATTGCTGAATCAGCATTAATATCTGAATAAATCAAAAACTTCGGAAGACTTTAGGGCTGAATAGGCTGCATATATTATTGCGCTGCAACAATTCGGATGACTACTAGATGGCAGTAAAGTGATTTTGCATGCTTTGCTGCCATCTAGTGATTCTCTGGAATTATGCAGCACCAATATCAAGCCAGTGGTCACTACTAAGGTGTGGCCATATCACACATTTGCTGTTTATCATTAAATTATGTTTTCTTCTAACAGTTGCTATAATGGAATGTGAGAAGTATTGTATTTGTGACTCAAAACTGAAGTTTTAGAAGTATTATTGAAGAGTTCTAAATCATTGTGGTTAGAAAGGCTATGAGCACAGAATGGATCATGTTTTGGCCAGGTTCTTAAAAGAAGAAATTAACTTCATTGCTAAAGAAAACTCTTTTAAGAAATAAACTATTAATAGAGGATATGATTGTATGATTTATATATTAACAGTATTTTTGAATTGCCCATATCACTAAAGTGCAAAAAATTAACATCACAATCCCCACCCGCCAGAATAAAATGATATCCTTCCAACATATAAAAGACATTCAAGAAGAATCAGTGGCAGAATTAAAGTTTAAAAGTTTGCCTACATCAAATAGTTTTCACATCATTGCAAAATACCATTGACAGGAGGTCAGGATCAGCTGTCAGGATAAGATGTTCCAAAGATCAGTGCTGCGGAGAAAGTCTACTTATCCATGAGGGAGTAGGGCTTTGAATATGGTCTTTCCAGAAGTTCTGACATGATAAGTGGAAACATTTTGAAGAAGGCACAGGAGGAAGCATTTGCCAACTTGATGTAGCAAGACAGCATAGATGTTTCTCGAGATGACACTGCTCAATGATGCCCAATTTAAGTGGGCCCAAAGTTTTGAGTTCTGCTAGAGAAGATCAGACAATCTGAAGAACATCAAACCAGACTGAGTACATTTTCTTGATGAGATCAGAAGAGGATTGAATGAGAGATCTGTGGGGGAATCAGGGAATTTGGCAGGCAGATGAATACTATTATCTGGAAGGTCCCAGGAAAGGAAGGAGTGTGGATTGGATTTGTCAATTGAGGGGCTGTTATGTAAGTTGTGGAAATAACTGGCCTATTGAAAGGTGTTCAGTAAGTAGTTGAATGAATCTGGGCCACAGAAATGGCTTGCGCATGGTGGCAAAGACTGGTGAAGTATGTGATGGTTGGAACTACTATTGGCCTCTGGAGAAAATATGAGGGCTCAATTTAGCACCATGCTGAGCAAGGGAAGCAGAGTGGGGGCAGTATTGGATAGGTATTGCAAAAGATAGTGGGCCTGCATTATTGGTATAGACCAGGTATGTCCAAGCTGCAGCCCATGGACTGCATGCAGCCCCATAAGATCATAAAAAATAAAGAAAGCTTGATATTTATATACATTATTATATTATATATTTTATATGTGGCCCAAGATAATTCATCTTCACTCAATGTGGCCCAGGCAAGTCAAAAGGTTGGATACCCATAGTATAGACCAGGGGTCCCCAAACTTGGCAACTTTAAGACTTGTGGACTTTAACTCCCAGAATTCACCAGCCAGCAGAGCTGGCTGGAGAATTCTGGGGTTTGAAGTCTACAAGTCTTAAAGTTGCCAAGTTTGGAGACCTCTGGTATAGATCCTATTTCTAAGCCATTGACCCAACCCTGGGTATAGGTGGCCAATTTGTTAGGCATTTTGGCTTTCTGGTTTCTGCTAATAAAGCCATGCCTGTGGGCAATAAGACTGCATCAATCTCTGGTTTGGTAGTAGATGAGCATGCACATCTGACACATGGGCAACAGAGAGAAAGCAGAACTGCTTAACTCATTCTTTGCCTCTGTCTTCACGCAAGAAGAAACTATAGCTCAACCCACCAAAAACATAACTGTAAAAGACAGACCAGAAATAAAAGTTAAAATAAGCAAAAAAATAGTTAGAGAACACCTGTCTGATCTTGATGAAAACAAATCACCGGGGCCTGATGGATTACATCCCAGAGTTTTAAAAGAGCTGGCAAAGGTCATCTCAGAACCACTGCACCATATCTTTCGTTAATCCTGGAGCACCGGGGAACTACCAGAGGACTGGAAAAGAGCTGATGTGGTTCCCATCTTCAAAAAAGGAAAAAAAAAACAGACCCAGGAAACTATAGACCAATCAGCCTAACATCAATACCCGGGAAGATACTGGAAAAGATAATAAAAAACAGATCTACCAACATCGAGAAACAAGTAAAATAATAACTAGCAGTCAGCACGGGTTTGCTAAAAACAGATCATGGCAAACCAATCTTATTTCATTCTTCAACACAGTGACTAAATTAGTAGACCAGCAAAATATTGTGGACATAATATATTTAGATTTCAGCAAGGCATTCGATAAAGTAGATCACAACCTACTTCTTAGTAAGCTAGAAAAAAGTGGAATAGATAGCACCACCACTGGATGATACGCAACTGGCTGGCAAACCATACTCAACGAGTAGTCCTTAATGGGTCTAAGTCTACATGGAGGGAAGTAAGCAGTGGGGTACCACAAGGTTCCATCTTAGGCCCAGTACTCTTCAATATCTTCATTAACGACTTAGATGAGGGAATAGAAGGGGAACTTACCAAATTTGCAGATGATACTAAGCTGGCAGGAATAACTAACACCCAAGAAGATAGGCTCAAGATCCAGATGGATCTTGACAGACTACAACACTGGACCATATTTAACAAAATGAAATTGAATGTAGAGAAAAGTAAAGTCCTACACTTAGGCAAGAAAAACCAGAGGTACACATATAGACTGGGTGAAACCAGGCTCAATAGCAGTAACTGTGAGAGGGATCTTGGAGTCTTAGTGGACAACCAGCTAAATATGAGCCAGCAGTGTGCAGCAGCCGCCAAAAAAGCTAATGCAATCCTAAGTTGCATTAACAGAGGGATACAGTCAAGATCAAGGGAAGTACTAATACCACTCTATAAAGCCTTATTAAGACCACACCTAGAGTACTGCATCCAGTTTTGGTCACCACATTATAAAAAAGATGTTGAGGCTCTAGAAAAAGTACAGAGAAGAGCAACCGGGATGATTAGGGGACTGGAGACTAAAACATACAATGAACGGTTGCAGGAACTGGGCTTGGCTAGTCTAGTAAAGAGAAGGACCAGGGGAGACATGATAGCGGTCTTCCAATATTTGAAGGGCTGCCACAGGGAGGAAGGGGTCAAGCTACAAGGAATAATGGATGGAAACTGAACAAGGAGAGATTTAACCTGGAAACAAGGAGAAACTTTCTGACAGTGAGAACAATCAACCAATGGAACAGCTTGCCCTCGGAAGTTGTGGGAGTGCCATCAGTTGAGACTTTCAAGAAGAGATCGGACTGCCATTTGTCAGAAATGGTGTAGGGCCTCCCGCTTGAGCGGGGGGGTTGGACTAGATGACCTACAAGGTCCCTTCCAACTCTGATTATCTGTTATCTGTATCTGTATGACATGGCTGAGCTGTAACTGGAGGGAAGCCCAAGTGAATATATAACCATTTCAAGTCCTGCAGCAGGGATGGCAAGGCCAAAGAGAACGGATTGCCATGGATATGTATGATACTCTAGCAATGGTGAAAACTGCTTCAGAGGTAACTGTATGAATGTCTTTGCATGGAACTGTTCTACAGAAGCAAGCTAAGGTTGTTGGTTGTACTGTATAGCAGTATTCTTATAGGAGCTCCTGGATACTGTTAGAGTATCCAGGACCTCAATCTCCATGCCCTGGAGGATGGAACTGCAGTAATTTTTATGAGTAAATGGCCACTTTAGGTTTGTTGCAATTAATTGTGATCCCATGTATCTAAATAGGTACATGCCACACTACTTGTTACTTCAGAGGAGATGAGACATTTTCTGAAAATGGAAGATCTTTCCTTTGGCTTAGTAAAATCATTGTTGCATATAAATCATGGATGTCCTGGACCTCTCCATGGGTAATAGTCTCTAGAATTTTCCATCCCTAGAACCCATTGGATCCAGAAGTTCCAGAGGGCATTTGCTAAATTTTTTTTAGTTAGTAGGCATGTTTTGTCTGATTTGATTTATTACAATGATGATTACAAATAATCATACAACGATTATTTCTTGAAGAGATTAATAGAATGCAGGGTGACACAGCCAGCTGAGAGTTCAAACACCCCTTTAATGGTCCAAGTTCCTCCCAAATGCTCCCACCTTCTTGGCAAGCCCCAAAGCAAAATGTTCTCTCTCTCTCTCTCTCTCTCTCTCTCTCTCTCTCTCACACACACACACACACACACACACACACACACACCACACACACACACACACACAGCAGCAGCTCTGGCTTAGAGCAGTCCAGCAAAGCATAGGAACAGGGAAATGAACCCATGAAGCAAGCTAAGGCACTAAGTACACGTAGCAAGGAAGAAGGAATGAGTCCATGGAGCAAGGACCAAGGCACTGGGTCCATGAAGCAGGGAAGAAGCACTGAGTCCATGAAGCAAGGAACAAGGCACTGAGTCTACAATTCAGCATTTGTTCCTGACAAATGCCCCTCCTCACAGCATCTCCTGAAATCTCAGTCCCCAGGTGTGCCTTGTGAAGAGAAGCAGAACGCTCTCACCCTGAGTCAGGCCTGTGCTGTTTGCGCTTTCTTTCCTCTCTCCATGCACAGGGATCAGGAGGGGGAGGTCCTTGTTCATTGTCTGAGCTCTGTTGCTCTTCATTTCCACTGCTTGCCCTCTCTCAGTCATCTTGCCTCTATCCTTCCCTACTAGCAAGCCATCCCAATCCTGAAGGGCCCTGGGCTGCCTCCTCCCTACATTTCTCCGAAGCCAACAAAGCCTTCCTCTTGATCTCCATCAGCTCCAGCTCCGGCTTGTCCTCCTCCACAGATTCAGTCTCTGACAGGGGCATGACAGGTTGTCAATCCTAGGTAACAACTTGAAATGTTCCCCCTTTTCCTATTAGATTTTTTGACAGTATTCAGAATCATTGAATGTAGTACCTTCTGGACTGTCTGCCAAGTTGGGAGTTGAAGGCACTGTTCTATAATGAGTGGAACTACTCCTGTATAAGAAGCCAATTCCTGTCAGTAGTTCTAGGATGGCAGCACTCAAGTTAATAGCAAGTCCTTTGTTGTTTAACATCTATATGAAACCGTTTGGAGAAGTCACCCTTCTGTTAGAGTGAGGAATCAGTATGCCAGCAGCATTCAGCTAAAGATTGCCATCTCAATCCAAGCTAGAAATATTATGGAAACCTGAACCCGTATCTAGAGGTTATATGAGATGAAATAAGATTAAATTAAATCCCAAAAATTAAATTATGGATTTCCTAGTCATTAATAAGCATCTGGACAATAGATTCACATCGGCAATTTCTCTGGATAATATCATGCTTCCTTAAAGGACTTAGCTTGCAAATTGGGAATCCTTCTGGGCTTGTAGCTCCTGTTTAAACAATAGATAGAGGCCATGGCTAGTGGAATCAGGTATGAGCCTACTTAGACCAAATGCTCTCAAGATTTGATCACTACAGATTCTTACCCTACAACTACAATTGAGCCCAAAATTTATGTTGTTAAGCGAGAAATTTATTAAGTGAGTTTGGACCCATTTTACGACTTTTCTCATCATACTTGTTAAGTGAATGACTGCAGTTGTTAAATTAATAACATGGTTGTTAAGTGAATCTGGTTTCCCCATTGACTTTGCTTGTCAGAAGGTTGCAAAAGGTAATCACCTGACCCCAGGACACTGCAACCATCATAAATGTCAGTCAGTTGTCAAGCATCCAAATGTAAATCATGTGACCATAGAGAAGCTGCAACGGTCATAAAATGGTTATGTCACTCTTTTCCAGTGCTGTTGTAACTCTGAACAGGCACTAAATGAACTGTTATAAGTCAAGGACTACCCATATATGGCTGGATCTAGACTACTACAGCACACATTATGTGGAGCTGTGATAGAGGTAACTTGGACCCTGGAAGTAGTCCTAATTATGGCAATCAAAATGCTGATACACAACTCCACCATTGCAGAATGAACCTGTTGTTAAGATTCGTTAAATCTGTCATTCTGCTATGAACATGTAAAGATAGTGTGTTAAGCATCTCATCCCTCCTACAAAGAATACTGGGATATGGTTGAGATACCAGGTTTCCTGTCTAGAAAGCTCCATGATTTGGAATATGCCTCCTCAACAGATATATTTGATCTCCTCCCATCTTTTATTTTCTAAAGCTATAAAAGCAGTACATGCTCTGGGTTCTACTTAGTTCTTACTGTTTTTTTTAAGAATTATTTTCTTTTTGTTTTATTTGTACTTTTTAAATTGATTGGGGCATTCTATAAATAATATAAATACCTCCCAGCAGTTTGTCTGCTACATTCTGTACCAGCTGTAGCTTCCCAGTGATCTTCAAAGGCAGCCTTGCGCAGAGCTGTACACTTCAATATGTTAAGAATCAACAATAGTGTACAGTTAAATTTCCTATTTGAAAAGTAATGATTTATTTTGTTTGCAAATAATCCCTTAAAGAATGCTGTTGATTCACTAAGAATGTGGCTTTAAAGGGTTCTTCTTGTCATTTTAAAATAAATGGCAGATGATATCAGGATGTCAAAAAGTCTTCAGTATCAGCAGAAAAGGGAGAAGGCAAGAACCAAAGGAGTGAAGCAAGGTGAGAATTCTACTTAGGGAAACCCATTCCAAATCTGAAGAGTCATTGCTGCAGAAGTATCTCTGTAGCAATTCCTTTTGCACTGCTGTGGAGTTCTTTGCATCCTTCCACAAGGTGGAGAGGTGCAAAGATTGTATATGGAGAGCCCTTTCAGTAAGGAATTAAGTTTTGTAGTTTGTTTTGGTTAAAGAGTTCTTTAAAGTACAGCAGACATACCCAAACCTAATCTTTCAGTGATTATTTTGAATATTGTTAAAAGTGGCTTATTACAATTCCTTGAAAGAATAAAGCTGAAATCCTAAATGTAATCATCATAGAATGGCTACACACATACATTGCACATTTGACTATGATTTGATGAATACACACTGGTTGGTGGCTATTCCAACACACTAAGCCAAAACATATGACAGCTTGAACAATGGATGAATTTAGCTGCTAAGTCTGACACAAGCTTCAGGGGTCTACTTTCAAATAAATATGAAGACTCTTAAAATACTCTAGCCATCTCCCAATTACAAGAGGAAAGAAAATACTGAAAAACTTCAAATACTCAGCCTATCTTGTGATAATTCACCAAGCGCTACCAAATTGGCTAAAAGCCCTTTTTGATGTAAATGAACATGTGCAGCTGTATCTAGGTCATGCAGATTGCTCTCAGCTATAGCTAAATCTGATCCATCTATCAACTGATAGTATAAAATCAGGAGTCTAATTTTTTTTCTAATCAATGTAAAGCTACATTATCTTCTGCCGAATACTGATACATATGCTGCCACCTGGACTGCATTTTGTTACTTTAGTGAAAACAACTCTTGTAGATAGAAGTACTATTGAACTCTATCTCTTTAGATGCAGTTTTCTATGTAAAATACAGAAAAACTGCACACAGTTCATTGTAAGATAGGTGGCTATATAAATGTTTTAAATAAACAAACATACAGAATAGAAATACATATTATATAAATGTCAGCATAAGTAATCTATAATTAAAAATCATATACAGTATATCTATATTTCAAAACATGTAAATTTACCAATATGGAAGTACTTAATGTATGTTTTATGTATTCTTTAAAATGAGTAAGAGTACAATATTTTTATTTTCTAGACAAGAACCAAAATTAGACTTGGTAGCAACCTGCTGTTGCTAAGTTGCTAAGAATAAAATAATATATCTTTCACATTTGTATCAAAAGTGTTTTAATATGGTACTTTATATAACAGAACAGGTAAAAGCATTTTTCACATGAAGTACAGCAATTGAACTAATCAGTATTTATACATTAACTTGAAATATGTAAAAGTTGATTGAACAATAAGATATATTGCTTCCTGCAATTAAATATAATATTTTTCAGGACACTTTTAATGTAGTTACATTAATAACTAACATTAATGGATATTTACTGAATATCTTAGAATTTAAATAAAATAGATCGAATTCAATGTCACACTGAGTCACAAGGTAAATTATGTTTTTTGTAACCATAACCATAGTTAAGCAAAACCATATTTTAGTGTAATACATGAAGAGATTTATAGATTGATTTTATATATATTGTATGGGAATACATTTTATGGCAGTGAATTATATTTGCTTCATCAGTACATATTTAGAGTTGTTCCCTCAAGTTGGAGGAAAAGTTCTACTGTAACTAATCTATTATCAAAAGATAGTTTAACTATTGGGAATGCCAAAATATTTAATGGTGATCATCTTTAATGTTTCAAATGCTTTTTATTTGATAAAGAAATTATAGTACTAAGCATCCTGAATTCTTTAGATTATAACATAAACTAAATTATGTTGATGCTTAATTTTCAAAAAATATGTACACTAGCATGATCTGTTAGAGCTAAATTTAGATTGCAATTGACATCCATTCACAACTTCAGGCTAAAGGTGACAAAAAAGTGAAGCCATGTTGTCTCTTTAGAAACACATCTAACTTATCCAACACCTTTCAATAGAATCTCACAATGGTAGTAAAATAAAGATAGTTTCAACGTAATGACACCAAGCTAGTATGGAAATAACCTTAGATAGTTCATACAAATACGAAGCCAGGATAGTTTAAAACACTATTTAATCAGCCACAGCATTCTAATCTACATATTGAGCAGGGCTACACATTATAGTACACCAAAAGCAATCACTTGATTATCATGGCATGACAGTCAGCCCCATGTGTTGGAGTTCACAGTACTTTTGAGTCACTACTACCAAAGACTAGAAAATATCTCATCTTAGCATTATAGAAACCAAGGAAGAATATGAGGTGTTATATTCTTCCACTTGTAATTCAACACGCAGTTGAAAAGATTAGAAACAGGAGACTTTGCAATGAAATATACATTGCTATATCAATGGACAATCTGAGGCCAGTTGCAATATCCCAGCATCCCATTTGCTATTTCCAGAGTTCCACTGCAGTTCACTGAACCAAATCAAAATGTTTTGATGGGTGGTCCAGAGATGACATATGTGCTATAGAGACCAACTTCATCTCTCAACTTCTACCTCTCTTCCTCCCTCCCTCTCTTTCTCTCCCTCCCTCTCTCTCAATGGACTAATTTATTTTATTTAGATTCTTTAAGTCTTTGTAAGAAAAAAGGGGATGAAGAAATTGGTCCCACATTCAGTGTAATAACATCTTAATCCTCCAACATCCACCTACAAGCAACATATAATGTGCAGCAACATGTGGAATAATTTTAGCATATTTGTTCTGAATATACCAAAAAGGCAATGAGAACAAAGTGGATGTAAAAGAAACATTTCACTGGATACCTCAATTTTTGTTGTTCCCACAGCAACAAATGTATCTATACAAGATAATTTTGCAAATAATCATGTGAACATGGCCTCAATTTCTAGACATGAATATCAGTGTATCTCTGCCTAAATTTAGCTCCTAATGCGCACCTGGCTCTTTGCATCCCCAGATGGGTTTTTGAATAAACAGAATACCAACTTTAAAATTAAACTTCAAAAAGTTTCTATGACTGCATCCACCAACTGTTGAGAACTTATCTATCTAAAACATAAAGAAAGTGGATATTTTTCTGCCCATATTATTAAAAGTCAAGTCCTTCAGGACAGAATAAATGAAATCCTTTTTTGCACGACGAATAATTATATGGGATTAAGAATAAGATGTTGAGGCTATTAGCTTGAATAGTATTAAGAGTGTTGAAGCAATGTGTAGGAGAGGAATTTTAGAGCTATTTTATTAGTTATCACTAAACTAAATGTCAGTATGAATACACTTGGTGCCATAATTTTTTCTCTTCTGGAAATGACATAAAGTCATACACAAATATTGCTTGTGTAGTTCTGAAAGGTCCATTTGAACACAGAAACACATTATGAGCATAAGGGCACTACAATTTGATTTACTGAGTACTGTCTGAAATAGGAGAGGTATATATGAATAATATTTTTTAAAAGCAAAATTACTTGCATTTCAAGGAAATAAGAACACTAATAAAATTCTACATTGTAGAAGTTAAGTCATATTTACCATTGTTTTGGATGGAAACAACTCAAGACTGCAGTCTAGATGTTTATAAAGCTTCTTTCAAGGGACCTATTACTGTTATGGATCTAGAAAGAAAACTCTGTGCTAACACATATAATGGTACATTACCTCAATTTATTCAGAGTCCCTGTAAGAGGAATAATATGACCTTTGCTTTGGAATAAGATTTTAATTACATTGCCTTAAATTAGGAATAATTGATTTCACACATCTCTCTCCCACACACCTACTTCATGGGCTGTTTCTGGTCTGACATGGTTACTTTCCACATATACCATATTTCTCTTTCTCTTAGATGAAAGTTATCATTTAGGGAGGCTTTGTGGAGACTATACTGAAGGCTTGGGGTGGGGCTTGTGTAGCCATGGGATCTAAGTGTACGAAGGAGACTGCTAGAGCTCCCCAGAATGTTCAGAGTTTATGTGTGCCTGCCTACCATCTTATCTAGAAATCCAGTCCCATTTTGACTGTTCAAATAGGCCTTTGCTATAATGCTAAACTTACATTCTGAGTAAAAATGAAGAAAACTATAGCTTTTATAATAGCACCAGAATGATGTAGTGGTTAAGGCATAAGGCTAGAAATCAGGAGATTATAAATTCTAGTCCCATCTTAGGCAAGAAACCAACTGGTGATCTTCGGTCAGTCTCTCTCTCTCTTTTTCCCAGCTTTAGGAAGCAGACAATAGCAAACTATTTCCCAAAAAATTTGCCAAGGAAACTGCAGGACTTGTCGAAGGTAATTGAGAAGAGTCAACATGGACTTGAAAGCATCTCTCCCCCGCCCCCCAAAATATTCATGTATTCATAATCAGGAAGAACTGCTAGGTAAGTTTTTAGTGAGAAAACACTCAAGTGCTATAATATTAGAAAATAAAAGCTTGCCATTTGTTAATATGTAAATTATAATTAAGAATGTGCAAAATACATAATCAGGAGCATTAGACTGATCTAATCTGAAACAGTGAATCTCACCAGCCAGTCTTTTATGCTAGCTGGAAATTTATTGCCCAAAATGTATGCATGTTCCCTTTGTAACTTCACAAAAAGTTTACAGTGACCTAATTGCAGAGTTGTAAGTCATTTGCTACTAAAATCCAGATGCCTATCCTCCCCTTAGCCCTTCTGATATGAGGGGAGCATTCAACTGTAAATGGTCACTAGGAATCTTTCCTAATCTTTCAAAATACCGATGAATGCAATAGGTTCTCAGAATGAGGACCATAGATTATTTTAAGGTAGCCATGGTATCATTGACTGGTCCATATTATTCAGAAGTTATTTGGAAGGGCAGCCATATCATTTGGATTTGGATTTAGTAATATTTTATAAGATGGGTTTCTTACAAAATGCCTCATTTATTGTAAGAACAAAGTTAGTGCATAGGTATCAAAGAGCAATGAACCCTTCTTTTGTAGGCACTTGTTCCCAATGAAACACTTTCCCCCTCAGCTTGTAATTCTAATAGCATCAGGAAGTTTACTGAGCACCAAAGTTTTAAATGCTAAATCCAAGTCCTCTATTAAAGTCCACAAACATACACAATAACATACCATTTTCACAGTGACCTATACAATACGTTCATGCAGCTGGCGATTTTGATTTCTCACAAATCATATTCAGGACCTGTTTTCTTAAAATGAGGCTGAGTAGATGCTTATACCCGATATCGATATTCCTGTAAGAATTCCTTCAATCTTGTTGGTAATGGAAGTTCCTGGATTTTACTTGTGTATCTGTTTATTGCTACTCTACACTGATGCTGTAGAGACAGTGTTGAATGATAGAGAGGTTTATTCAAATAAAGATGGACTGTTCCATTGGAAGGTATTTCGGAGACCATTCTTCTGTCCTTGCACATAAGGACATAATATTCAATTAGGTGAACCACACTGTCAAATTGCTGGAGCCTTGATCGGATGCATATAACAGAATCCAGACGGAATTTACCACCTTGAAATTCTATTCGTAAATTGGTAGGACCTACTGAGGTTTTGACTGAAATAGTAAGTAAATACTCTGAGTGAGAGCTGTCTCTGACCAAGAAAGTCCCTTCAGATGCATCTTGTAATCTTTCCTTTGCTTCTGCAACACTCATGCTTCCCCAATACCATCCTAATGGAAGAGAAAGCAAAATTAGTTAAGAATCTTCAGCATAGTTTTAGACAGAATACCATTGGAAGCAAAGGACAATCCAGTGCCAATAACTATCTGCACTGGAGAATTTTGATAAAAATAAACATAATTGTGCATAAAATCCAACAATTCAAACTCCTTAACATTCTAATCCTACTTCCTAAGTGTCCTTGAATAACTAATGCAGTTTCTCACTTTTACTTTCTGCTTTGTGAAACATGAATATGGCCAGAAAAGATACTTTGCAAACAGAATCTGACATATATTTATTTAATAATAAATACCATTATACTTAATAGGGCTGATAGAGTTGTATTGCAAAAGTGCTGTACGAATATCAATAGGATTTAAGACTGCCCATTTTTCAATTATTGTATTAACAGCTCTGCTAAGCAAACAAAACCCATAACACTTCTTTCATCAAATACAGTGCAGATATGTGAAAGATTATATGAGATTAGAACAAGGCAAATTTTAGACCCTAAATAACTTAAAATCAATACTTTCTCTTAACCCTAAAAAATAATGAGAGAAAATACCTTTCATGTGATAATTGAAGTAGCCTGTCTAACATGGTTGTCCCCACATGCATTAAAATATAACTCCTAGGATCTCCTGGCAGGATTGCAATCATTTTTTTGCTATCTATAATGCAGTAGTAACAGCTAGAAGTAATAACCTTTGCAGTGTATCCAATTTATTCTCAGAACTAAATACAAGACCAAATAGGAAAACTGTAGTGAAATTTTTAAAAAAGTGTAATATAAAAATTTAAAATAAAATAAGTCATGGGTGAATAAGGCTAACAGATTTTACAAAGAATTCTTATTAAAATTTCTGCTCACTATTCTAAACAAATTGATCTGTTTTTATTAACACAGAGATGTTTTCCTAGAAGTCTTATGTAACTCTGGATTTACTCCTAGTTCTGCCCAGCATTTTATTAGTCTCTTAATTCTGAGGTGCTACTACTATAGTGGAAACAAGTTCAGGATTATATAATGTATTTGATAATGTACACCTAATTGTGTTGGCTAATCTGAAATGTGGAAATCCAAGATGAATTGAAGTAATCTGAAATGTGGAAATCCAAGATGAATTGAAGTTGCAGTATAGTGCTCCAACATACAAGTCTGAGAAACAGCAGAACTTGTCTTGTTCCTTCCTTCTTATTCCCCAGATCTTAAGCTATTATTGTATTCCATCAGAGAAGATTTTCTGCCTGCTACCTGAGAGTTACTCAGAATGATCATTAAAGAAAAGTTGAAAACCCACCGCAGTTTCCAAACTCAATAAAGGAACGACGACTTAAAACTTGCATCGTAGAACTCAACTGTAGAAAAGTACCTAGCTAACCCTGCGAAGTTTTCCAGGCAGGTAAACACATTAGTTTGGCGGAATAATTTCGGTTCAACTCATCACCTTTCCACCCTCGAAGCTTTTTCCTCCACTTAAGAGATTCTGCGGGGCGCCTGTTTTTGGGGCTCCACCTCTCAGGGGCTTAATAGCGGGAGTCTTTTTTCACCTCATGACCCACCAGCGCTGGGGATGCTACACAACAGAATCCCTCCAATTCTTACGAACCCTGCATGCATTTCCACCCCTCCACGGCTCAATCTAACGCCGGGTGCCCACTCCCACGTTCCCCACGCTTGCCTTACCCGCGCATCTCAACTCCCTCATGGCAGAGTCCAGGCGCTCCCCTTCAGCAGGTTCCGCCGAAGCTCCTCCAGCTTCCCACTGGGGCCCAGCCCTGTCGGTGCCATCCGAAGATTCGGCCGAGCGCAGGGTCATTTGGGGGCAGAGACCACGGCGTGAGGAGGAAAGTAAGGAACAACGGGTCCTTACCAGACCTCCCGGCGGCTGCCCCAGGCCATCTGACCGCCGCCCGCAGGGACCTGCAGCTCTGCAGCAGAGGAGAACCAGGGCCCGGCGAGAGGCTCCGTTGATATCGGCCGCTCCGAGTCTTCACTTTCGCAGCATCCCTCGGAAAGGCGATCCGTTTGTCGCTGGGGTGGGCGAAGGGCGCCCGCTTTTCTCTGCCTCCTTCCTATTGTCCTGTCTTCCCCATTGCACACGAAGGGCACCGGCACCCGCCGGGAAAGCGCCTCTCCCAGCCGCCACCTGGACGGGGATTTCGAGGATGGGTTACCGGCTGTTTTCAAGGTGCACGCCTTTCTCCTCCTTTCCTTTGCAGCGAGTCTGGCTGCTGTCTAGGAAATAATCGGTGGGCAGCCCCAGGGCGAAGAGTCGTGTGCACTCGGCCAAACTCTTACCTTCGGCCTCGCCAGCAAACGCGGCAAAACCCAGAAGGGCGGGATGCTGGTCTCTTTAGCGCGGCGCTTTTTAAAAGGAGAGGCCGTTGGGAGGCTCGCCACGGCGACCAGCCTTGCTTTTGTTTCAAAAGGAGAAAAAGAGAAAGAGCCCCGCAATAGTAGCTGAGAGAGGGGGGGGGCGGGCGAGTGGCCGCCGGGCCGGCCAGTTCAGGTTATGCTCTGCAAGAGCTTCTCCTACAACCCGGGGCAGGAAATATTCATGTGACGCGTGGAAGCCAAGTAAACAGGAGCGAGGAGCCGCGGCCGGTGGGCGAGATTTGCTGCCTGGTGCGCGCCGATACCGAAACAACTCAGAAAGTGGGGTGACGCGGTTGCATGTCATGACTGGGATTAATAATGGCGAGGCGAGCGTTGCCCCCGTCTTTCCTCCTATGCCATTTCAGATAGGCTGAGCTACTGCTCGGTGCGGGGTTGGTGGTGGTGGTGGTGGGGGGGGGGTTGGAAGAGGCAGGTTTCTTGTGCTTACAGTATGTGGAGCGCCTCCCCTCCCTTAGTGTCCCCCCCCCCCGCCGGTTACATTGCAAGCGATCTCGAGGCAACTTCGGGGTGCCTCGCCTGGTGTCCGGCCGTTTTCTCTTCCCGCAGTTATTTTGCTTTGTGTTTTTACCAGCGGAACGATTAAAAATGCAAAGGCCGCTTTCCAAGAACTTTCCAGGAATCGCGTCACATGACCGCCGGCTCCCGCGCCTCCGCTTGAAATGGAGCTGCCGTGTTGCAGCCGCTCCTTCCTTCCTTCCTCCCTCCCTCCCTCTCTGCCTTCCCCCACCTCTTTCTTCGCCGCAGGGGGTGGGGGAGCCGGGCTGTGGGCACAAACAAACGGCCGTCGTCCTGGCCGGGCGTCTTCGTCGCCGGAAAACATGGAAAGCAGTCTCCGCCGAGCTTCTTTACGGAGCGAAGCTGCTGGGTGCACGGACGGCTCCTGCTGCTTTACGGGGCTGCTGAGGAAAGGTCGCTCGGGATCTGTGAGGCTTAAATCCTCCGGGATAGAGAACGTGAGAAGGGCGTGTGCCGCTTCTGGGGTGGGCACAAGAGGGACAAGGGGACTTCTCCGCGAAGGGCGGACCAGGCTCTTGATAAGGTGCCGCCCTACCGTCAGTGCCTGGGAGCGGTTTACTGCCTACATCCTCAGCCGCTTCCGGACCACCTACAATTAATATGTGACCCTGCGTTGCTTCTAAGCAAAATATTAGGCCTGAAATAGCCTTGAAGATTGGTCGATTTAATGTGTCCATGTTTCCAGTAATTCACATTAAATTCATTTAATGTGTCCATGTTTCCAGTAATTCAGCATTTAGGCTGAGGTGTAGCTGTGCAACTGGCTTTTTCAGGATTGAATTTGATGCTGACTGGAGATCCTGGCTATTCTTGACCAGAGAAGAGGGTTCATGCATATTGTTATGATAAGGGATTGAAATGGGCAGCATTTTAAATGCTCCCTGTGTTGGATTACTCAATACATATAACATTTTGTTTGGGGGCAAAATTCAAGGTTCTTATTTTTATATAGTAATTCTCTGCTTAAAGAAAAATCACAATCTTCAATAGGGCTGATTGTAATGTATGATTAGTATTGAACATTTAAGGACCTTTGTAAAGTGCACTGCAGATGTTTACAGGAATCTCTTTCACTTCGTGTAAACATACCTGGTTTTTATGATCTGGCACACATCAACAGTTGTGTGGTTGTCATGAAGACATGGTTCTTGGAGGCAAATGCCAATTGAGGCTTACCAGATCCGAGTCTGTGGCTCTTTTAAAAGACATCGAATACTTGTTTATTTAGATACACTTTTTGCTGTAAGCCTTTAGTTTTATTGGCTGCTATATTTATCTTTTTGTCTCCAATAATTTTACTAATGTTTTCAATTATATTTTTATGTTATTTTTGTCCTTTGATGTAAGAATGGTTAATAAGAGGGCAAGCTGTATATTTTCTAAATAAACAAACTGTATTTTAAAAATATTTCTCAGTAATTTTTTGAACTATTCTGAGAATTTGTTCTGAATTTGAATTTTGTATATTCCTGTTAGAAGTTATTGTATTTAAATTCTCTAGTGTGAGATTGTTTAGCTTTTAATTATTCCTTCTGCTTTATCCTGGAAAAATAGTAATATTTGGTAATATTAAATTGTCCTTATTGAGTATTTGTACATGTGAATGTCTTAGTAAATGTTTAGGATGCAGATTTATGTTTGCTCTTACATATATATTTCTCAGAATCCTTTCTTTGACTTTGTTGAAATAAATATTTTCAGCTAGCTGTTGCAGATGTTTATTATTTATTATATTTATATCCAGTTGCAGTCCAATTAAGGGCTTCAAATGCTTGAAAGATTTTTTTTTTCTTTCATTTAATTGTGTCCAATTTTCAGAGACTGCCTGGACCATTCCCATCAGTTTTCTTTGCAAGGTTTTCAGAAGTAGTTTACCATTGCTTTCTTCCTAGAGCTGAGAGAAAGTGAGTGATCCATGGTGATTCATCTGGCTTAATTAGTCACCTGGATTAAACTTCTTTGTCAGTGCATGTGTCATTTGGAAACAGTTGCGTAGATGTTGCATTTATAGGTTTGTGAATGTTTGTTCTAGTTAGGGGTCACTTAAATAGCAAAGCACAAAACAAAGTTGGATCAATCCACATGCACAATTCGCAGTTGGGATTTGGGAGATGTGTACATCAGTCCATCTGCAGCCATCTGCAACCTGCACCTATCCATGAACCCCTTCACACCACAGATATGTGGCAGCGCAGTTGCAGACAACTCTAAATCAAGCTTTAGGCAGAACCAGAGTTCATGGTCTCTTGGTTTGTAGCTTTATATCTTAACCACTACACCAAACGGAACGGACTCTCATTCACAGATTTTATACACATATAAAATCAAAATGCCTAATTAAAATAAAACACAATGGAAAAACTATCAAGTAAATGGTATCAATAAGAAATGTTCTACAAAACAGTTCTGTTTTAAACTGCAGAAGGAGCAATGGTGGGAAGTAGTCTAATTTCAGCTGGAAAATCTCAAAGGGCCAAAAATGCCACTGAGAAGCAGCACTCATTTCCTGGCCTTAGTCACCCACATCTAAAAGTTGTTTCTACACTTCCCTCCCCCCCCCCCCCCCCCATTCTATTTATTGGGCCAATTCTAGTTAGAGAATGTGATTCTGAAAGTAACCTGGTGCTAAGTCATAGAAGACTTTATAGATTAAAAGAAGCACTTTAAATTGTGCCTGGACAGTTAATGGAAGCCAGTGCACAGCTGTCATGTACTCCCAGTTCCAGTGCCAGGAATTACTAAGCACACAGGCTGTTGCATGCTGGATTATTTTGCAGCTTCTGAGTAGTCCTTAAATACACATTATGGTAGTGAAAATGGGTAGTGACAATAGCATGAGGATGAGATATTGCAAGAATTTCAAAGCCCTTGACCTTCTGTCAAGGTAAAACTTATACTGAAGGCAGTGAGAAATCCAGATCCCGACAAAGGTAATCTAGAGTGTCTACTGCCTCTTTGTCCCATGCTGGGCCTGAAACATGCCTGAAAAACTTCATAAAATCAATTTTCTCTACAAAGCTTCATTCTTTGTTCCCTACCTCTATCGTTCTTAAAAAGGGAATATTGGAAACAGCAGTAGTTATTTAATAGCTCTGTGTCCAAAGAAGGCCTCCTAAGGAGGAGGCACATCTCACCCTCTTTTAAGGTGCTGATAGTACCCTTTTGCAGTACTGTAAGGTAGTGGTCGCCAACCAGTGGGCCGGGAACCACTGGTGGTCCATGAGAAAATTTTGGTGGTTTGCAGAGAAATGTCACCCCGAAAGCACCCCCAAAGCAATCCAGGCTGCGTGGGAACACAAGGCTTGTGTTGCTTGCATTGTGAACAACATGAAGTAGTGAGGGGAGGGGGGAAGGGCAGAGGGGGGGAACTTTCCCCACACGCCCCACGTGCCTTGCCTGGCCACTGGGTTGCTTCTTTCCGCTTCTTCTGCTTTTGGCTGCACGCATGGAAAGTAGCAAGTCTTTCTCTCCCCCAAACTCCGCCAGAAATGAGTCTTTGGGACCCTGCAAGTCATCCTACTCCAAGAGGCTGCACCGGCACGACAAGTCTCACAAAGACTCATTTCTGGTGGAGTTTGAGGGAGAGAAAGAAAGACTTCTGCTGCTTCTTCTGCTTTCCTTGCACGGAGCCAAAAGTCTCTTTCTCTCTCTCCCTGAGAACGGAGCTGGAGACGGTATCCTGCAATCCCAAATAAAGAATGATCGATCGGTAGGAAAACGGGATGGGGAATTTCCCTGCAACTTTTGGGGATTTTCCCAGGGTCTTTGGTCCGCGGGATTTAAAATTATGAGTTTGGTGGTCCCTGAGGTGCAAAAGGTTGGCCACCCCTGCTGTAAGATATTGATTACTTCTTGGATCCAGGTAATTATCTCCCTCTGGCGATGTACACGAGCCAGAAAGGACAAAGATCCAACCCACAAATGGCAGAGGATAGCAGGAAATACCAGCCAAAGGAGTCCCAGATAATACCAGTATGTCAAGAATGCCCCAGTTACTAGCCTACATCCTGGCCATATTAAGTCAATTACTGAGCAAATCTTGCAGTGTTATAAAAGGATTCCGAAAGAATTATTTTAAAGTGGCAAGCCATATTTTACTCAAAGTTGTAAGAGAATTGCTATTCCTTGTATTTAATTGTAAAATTATAATGCATCATAATGTTCGATCATTTTGCAACATAATTACATTACACCAATTATAGGGTTAAGCAATATAAGATAGAGAAAAACAGTGTTACTCCAACATAAATAATTACTGGAATATCCAGTTCTTGATACTTTGATATACTGAGATTGTGTCAGTTCTGTAAATGTGATCCAGTTTTGTGCAGTTTTACAATTTTAATGTCTCAAACCTTCAGAATTTGATCTTCTGTCTTCTTGTATTTTTATAAACATAGACTCTTCAACAATAAAGACCTTCTGTTCCATTGGTATGAGTTAATATCACTGACGTCAATTTTTTTGTATTTAGTTCTGAAAGAATAGTAATTCCTCTATTAACTTGAATTTTCCTAAACTAAGTGGTGTCTACAAGCTTTAATGAGCATTATGCTAAATATGTAGCCAACAATTTTATATTGTTGTTGTTAGTTGCAAAGTTGTGTCCGACCCATCGCTACCCCATGGACAATAATTCCTCCAGGCCTTCCTATTCTCTACCACCTTCTGGAGTCCATTTAAGCTCACGCCTACTGCTTCAGTGACTCCATCCAGCCACCTCATTCTCTGTTGTCCCCTTCTTCTATTGCCCTCAGTCTTTCCCAGCATTAGGCTCTTCTCCAGAGAGT